TAAAAAGAAATTGAAAAAGATGCGTGACAAATAGCAATTAATTCAAGTTCAGAACACAAGCTGGGCCCAACTGGGGGTGTAAAGAGCAAGGCGCGCTGGGCCCATCAGCAACATTCAAAAATGAAATAAAATCTGGGAAATCTGGTGCAACAGGTCAACGACGGAAACCATGGGATGCAATCTGGGACGTTTGATCAAACGGTATTCTCATCACGTGGCTTACAAAGTGACAACAACTTAATGAAAAATTAAAATGAATTTAGTGTGGTTTGGTTAACTTGGATGCACCGTGCATCTTAATCCCACGCGTTGAACAAGAATTATTCACATCAAACGCTCCTCACGGCGCCACGCAAGCGTCTTCTTCATGGAACAAGGGTGGACAACCAGAGGCGGCCAGACTGAACTTTCGGTCGTCTTCCTCACGCGTCCGGCCACCGCGAGCTACAACAACCACACGGCCTCTCCCAAAACTTCACCGTTTTTGACAAATTTTATATCAAAATTCGTCTAGAGATCATGAGGATCTCATATCTAGCATCAAAATCCACATATCTTGCAAGATGAGTCCAAACCGAAAACAACAAGGATGACCATCCAAAATCAAAGTTCACCAAAACAACTTCAATTTAATCCAAAACTCATCTAGAGATCACGTAGACCACAGATCAAGTGTCAAACAAGCAAGATCATGCACAAACAAGCCAAACCAGATCCAAACATAAATGAGCATCATCCAACAATCACAACCAATGCCAATTCGTTTTACATTTTAATGATCTACATTGATCCTACGTCTCAAGTATGCAAAAATGGCAGTGAATTGATGCTTAACAAGAGTGTAATGTTGAATTTCAATTACCTAGTGGAGAACTTCCACTGAGCCTTCAAATGGAGCTCAAACTTGCAAGTAATCGCCCAAAATCGTTCACTGAACTTCAAGGAAGCTTTCTCAATTCACAATTTCTCATGAAACAACCTCAATCTCCAAATTCGAAATTTGAATTTCTCTCACTTTTTGAAAACTGAACTTGATGAATTTGCCTCCAATTTGCACTTCTGAGGGTTTGTTCATGGCCAAAACAATATATATGATGGATCTTGATGATAATTATGCCCAATCAAAGCCTCTAACTGTCCATACCAAAATCCAAGGAATTGAAAATTTCCAAGTTTCATGTACACAAAAATGCACTAATTTTGGCTCCAAAATGGTTGGAATCACTTGCTGGTATCTCATGGAGCATGAATGGTCAGGATTGGAGCCTTGTTTGATCTTAATGGCTCATGTTGATTGTGTAACTTCATAGTGAAGAAACCTTGAAAATGGCTCACTTACACACCTCAAATCCAAAACGTAAAATTGCCAAAGTGTTTAAAATGATGTTTGCACTCAAAAAATGCATCCATTTGCACCAAAATGTTCAAAAGTGAATTAATTCACATTTCCCCTCTTTTAACCTTTTTCCATGAAAATTCAAATATCAAGACCTCAAACCAAGCCAATTCCTTAACTTCTCAATGCTTGACTAAGCAAATAACACCATTTGGAACAAGTTTGATGTTGGAAAAATCTTCATTTGAAGTGTACAAGTTGGTGAAATGGACCTATAATTTTATGACCTGTAATCTTACTTTCCCAAAATACCCCTAACTTGTAAACCTACTAACTTGAGTTCTACAAATCAGATGAAAGACTTCTAGTACAATTTGGAAAGCTAAGATCAAGACCTACAACTTTCATGTTGGTTAAAAGTTGAGAAGAAACATCCTTCTAGGTCAAAAATGGCTTGGAAGTTGGTTGACTTTTGTTGACCAAAATCACATCCCTCTGATGACCTGTAACTTGTCTGGATCATAACTTGAGTTCTATAAATCCAATCAAGGACTTCTAGTACTAAAATTAAAGCTAAGAATAATCTCTAAAAGTTCCATATTGGTCAAAAGTTGAGATGAAACTTGTATCTTGAGATAGGTGGTCTTGAAGTCAGGCACTAAATAGGGGATTTTACCCTGAGAACCCTAATTTAGTAACTTCTCACACACTTAACCCTTGATGAATTGAACTTGAAATGATGTCTCATATGTCTTAACACAACATCCTATGACCATAGAGACTTTGAATTGAGTTTTAATCTCCTTCAATTGCACAATTGGTTGAGGATTTGTCAGATGAAACCCTAATTGCACCAACTTCAACTATAACTCTTCACACTTGGCACAAACACTTGGATGAGCTCTAAAATGACCTTCAAGGCACTCCATGAGCTCTCTCAACATCTCATATCCATAGCCATGCTTCACAATTCTCTGATGATCTTGAACTGGCCTCCAAGTTAGGAGCTGACCCACATCCATCCATCCTTTCTTTCATAAGACCAATGTCCACTTCCTGATGACTTGATTACCATCCAAACTTGAGTAACACCCCTTGCTTAGGCTCAACCTTCTGAGTAGACTCTTCTCGATGCATAGGCTCTTGACCCCCTGTTCAATGCAACATGCTATGCAATGCAAATGCTAGAACAAAATGAAATGAAACACAAGCCAGCCAAAGAAAAGTTTGGGCAAATTTTGGGGTGCAACAAAGCCCTCACAACCTTGGCTCAGTACTATGACACTTCTCTCCGTTGTTTCACCTTTGCTTATTTTCAAATAGCTCCCACTTTGGAAGAATTCGAGAAGATTCTGAACCCCTCCTTCTAGTGCCAAGCCAGCTGTCGCTACGCGAAAAATGACACAGAGTCGCCACCGGATTTTATTTATCCCAAAGAGGGAAATGGAAATAGCGATAAAACCTTTAGGGAAAAGAGCATGGTCATCGCAATCGAGTCTTAGGATTCGGGAGTCGGTTATACGAGGGGAAGGTATTAGCACCCCTTGCATCCATCGTACTCGATGGGAACCTTCTAGGTTGTTTGGCGTGAATGGGTGTTTTATTCTAAAAGTTTGCTTGGTTAAAAGAGAAGAGTGGTTTTGAATTTGAAGGTCCATAGTCAATGGTGGTGAACCGATTACGTTTTCCGCCATTGATTATGATTTAGAATATTGTGATTGTTTTCGATTTTACTGTGCCGCCATCGATGAAGCTTCATTGAATCGAAGGAAAAAGCTATGAATTGACGCGTAGTTACGATTCAGATTCACCATCTTCCTTCGATTCAACGAAGCTTCATCAATGGCGGCACAGTAAAATCGAAAATGATCGCAATATTCTAAATCATAATCAATGGCGGAAAACGTAATCGGTTCACCACCATTGACTATGGACCCTCAAATTCAAAACCCTTTTTTTTAACCAAGCAAACTTTTAGAATAAAACACCCATTCACGCCAAACAACCTAGAAGTTTCCCATCGAGTACGATGGATGCGAGGGGTGCTAATACCTTCCCCTTGTATAATCGACTCCCGAATCCTAAGACTTGGTTGCGATGACCATGCTCTTTTCCCTAGAGGTTTTATCGCTATTTCCCTTTCCCTCTTTGGGATAAATAAAATCCGGTGGCGACTCTATGTCATTTTTCGCGTAGCGACAATGTGCACGTGAACGGTCTAGCTGAAAGAGGAAAAGATGATTTTTATGGCATAATCAAACATATCTATCAACTATATTACTTTGGTTTGAAGGAGAAGATTCCATTTTTTTATTGTGAATGGTTTGACCCTACAAAGAGCACAGGAACAAAGGTTCATCCACAATATAAAACTGTTGATATTAAGATGGATAAGCGTTATCATCCTTACGATCCTTTCATCCTTGCACAAAATGCAAGACAAGTGTATTATGTCCCATATCCAGAAATGTGTAGAGATATGCGTGGATGGTGCGCGGAAATCACCACAAAACCAAGGGGTCATGTGATGATTGATAACATAGAGGATGAAATGCCATATTAGTCTGATGGGATGTTACCTGTTCTACCCACTATTGAAATTGAATCAATATCTTGTTTGCGTGACGACACACAAGTTGATGTGTTTGAAGATATTTTTGATACGTAGTGAAGCAACAATAGGATATTGATTGAAGATGCACAACTATGTTATGGTTTATTTTATGTATTTTGTATTCCAATATTTTGATGAATATGATATTATCATTTCTCTTTTTCCTAAGTGTTACTGCTCTAAATTTATCTTTGTAATCACAGTTTGTATACAGTTTGTAATCACAAATATGCATTTATAGAATTTACTGCTCTAAATTTAGTGAGAAACACAAATATTTATATTCAGTGTTTATATGCATTTTATATACAGTTTGTTACTGCTCTAACAAACTAATTCTTAGAATTTATGCATTTATATACAGTTTGTAATCAAAAATATTTAGTGAGAAACACAAATATTTATATTCAGTGTTTATATGCATTTATATACAGTTTATATTCAGTGAGAAACACAAATATTTATATGCATTTTGTAATCACCTGAGAATTCCAACTGTTGATGCATTTATATGCATTTTGTAATCACCTGAGAATTCCAAAAATATTTTAAGATGCATTTTATAATAATTTCTTCAATTGTTATTATATTTTGTCTAATTGTTTTTTGTATTTTATGACAACAGATGACTAACAGAAGTAGAGGTGAGAGAGGAAAGGAAAATCCAAAAAAAGGAAAATCTAAGTGCTTAGCACCTAGAAAGCTTATTGATAATCGAAATAGCATGTTTCGAAAGAAATCTACATTTGTTCAGTCATCACAAGCTACTACAGCACCGACTCCACCAACAACTCGGACTCCATCGTTGGCTCCGACTCCACCGTTGGCTCAGACTCCCTCGGTTGCTTCGACTCCATCACCTGCTCCGAATACATTGCCAGTGCGGGCTGCACCGGTCCCGCAGATTGCACCCATTTTGCGGACTGCGCCTGTGCCGCAGGCTGTACCACCAATGCCTCTACCTATGAGGTATTTAGGTTTATGCCTACTTCGGGTTTAAACATTCAAAATGTGGCTGTCCCTCTAGATCATGCCTCACGTGAGATTCTGATGGAGGAAAATGAAGAGGAAATTGAGGATGAGGACGCGAATGAAGTGGTCGTGGGTAAAGGTAAGGTTCCCCCTCATTTGATAATAAGGGATGATAATGGGAAGGTTATTATACAAACTTGTGGTAGCGAGTAAGTTTAAAATATTTATTCAATATTGCAACAGGTTTCAACATTATCATTGGTTTCAACATTATATCATATGACATCATTGGTTTCATTCAATATTGTAGGCTTGTTCCGGACAAAGAAGTAGAAAATGCCATTAATTATGCGATACACAAACAATTTTATAGGGGTTTCTATAATTGGACAGCAGTTCCCGCTGATGTCAAAGAAAAATGGTTTGCTCTTTTTGCGGTAAGTATTTATTGAATTTTGTCTAAAAGCCTCAACTTGTGCTTTGTGGGTCTGATACAATGTGCAATACTAACAGCAAGCTAACTTCTTTTTAAACTAAACAATACTAACATCACCAAGCACTAGTTGAATCACAACTTACATCTAATTCACAGCAGCCATTTTAATTCCTTAACACCAATAACCATCTAACCTTTAACACATTTAGAATTGGACCCTAGGGTTGTTGTTCAACATTTATAAACAATTGAGTATAATTATAGAAGTATAGAATTGAGTATAAATGATAATTCCATAGATGATGAAGTAAATCTAGGCCTAAACTTGAACCAACTAAATCTAGGCCTAAACGAAATCCTGAATTTGACATTACAATGCCAATTCTATAAGGGATTCAGACCAACATGAAGAGCTAACCACCCCTAGCATCACCATGCTTGACAGATCTAAAACTCCAAAAGCAAACATAAACACTAGCCTCAAACCTACTTAGAAGAAAACCACACCTATGTGGAATAAAACTCTCCAACAGACCTGGGCAGCAGGCCCAACATCAAACCAACAGTGTCCACTGAAGTTCTAATCTGTCAAGATCTCCAACTAGCTCAAGAATTCTCATAACCCCAAATCTGGCCATACCCTACCTCAGCTGACAAAACAAAGTGAAACTCACTACCTATCACAAGGAAACCAAACTAGCTATGAGAAACTAAGACTGATAGCCACCAAATCTGAGTTGACAAACTCAGTTTCCTTATGGATAGATGCTGACAAACCAAACAGAACTGACATTACAATGCCTAGGATGTTTATACTATTTTAATCATTTTCAGGACAAGGTTTCATAGGATCCTCAATATGAGATGTTTGTCAGGAAAGCCTTTTATTCAAAGGCAGCCATTCGACTAAATGACATAATGAGGAAGGTGAGGTTAAAAGGGACCCGTCCTTCATGGATTGGTGAGGATGCCTGGAATGAGCTTGAAACTTATTGGAAGAGTGATTCGTTCTTGAAATTTTCCTCTCAAAACAAGTCCAATTGAAGTTCAGCAAGAGGAGGAGCAGTCCACACCTCAGGTCGTAAGGCTCATGTTGATGTAGCGCTTGAGCTTGTAAGTAATAAAGTCGATTTTTATTTCAATCTTTAATTATTTATACTATCAAATTTACTTTAATTTATATTTGTAGACCCAAGAACTTCAAAGGGATGTACGCCCTGATGAGTTATTTTTAAAGACCCATAAGAGGAAAAGTGGAGCATGGGTTGATCATCGTGCTGAGTCTACATACGTAAGTTTTAATTAATTATGAACTTAATTTCAATTGGTGTATTCCTACAAAAAACAAATAAATAAGAATCCTTGGTTATATATGAACTTAATTTCAATTGATGTCGAGAGGTTAGATGGAGGGACCATTTTTAAATTAGGAACTGTGAGCTCAACACCAATTGCAATGTTTATAGAAGCATAGTAATTCTGACCCGTTAAAGCATATCCAAGTTGATGTTGAATTTTTGTAGCTTAACTGAGTCAACGGTGTTAACATGATGCTTGGGTTTGAATACAGTGAAAGCCAGAATGAGAATTAGCAATAAAATTGCAATAAAAACAATAGTAACCGCGAGACATGCTTTTCTCCCTTTACCAGATCCTACTGTCATCCTGTTATGATATGAAGGAATAAACACAATAGTGGTGTGTTTGTTTCAATATTGCCCAAAATCATATGACATGGTCCAAATCTCAACAAATTGGATGTCTTTTTAAAACCCTAAACACAACGTGTATTTGAAAGGGTTACGCAGTTACGAGAGTGACCTGTTCAATAGTTTATGGTTTAAGGAATGAGTTTACACCCTGTTCAACCCGACTTCAATTTCTAACTCTTTCACTGGAGTGTAACTCAACAATATAGGCAAATAGGTATTAATCCTAGTTAGGCAAATATGACATGTTGTGAGTAAGGAAACAGAAGACTGAGTAAGGAAACAGAAATAAGAGAAGGATTGTTGTGGAGAGAAACTCCATGAGTTTGAGATCCAAGGCATTGATTCATTACCTATGTTTTTCTTTAAAGATTTGTATGAGTCAAAGTTGCAATAACTTGAAATTTTAGTAAAGTCATTAATTATTGAAATGTTGTACTAACTCATGCAGGCACAATAACTCTTGTATAACTAATGCAGGCACAATAAGAATCCTATATTTAGAAATGACTCCTTTTTCTGTTTTACAGTCCACTTTTAAGGAAAAAGCTGGAGATGATGTCGAGAGGTTAGATGGAGGGACCGTTTTTAAATTATGGACAGATGCTGCTGGGGGTCGTAGTCATGGTCGGGTTTATGGAACAACAGATTTAGCTATCAATCTGAAGCATGGATGTACATCATTTATCCAATAACCTCAAAATTCCCGCGGATCTATGTTTGGGACATCCTTTGAATTAGAGAGAGCATCTAGAATTAGAGCTGAACAACTGGCTGCAGCTACATCAACTCGACTCGAAGAGGCTACCAAAGTTATTCAGGCGTCAAATGAGATTGCTCGGAAGGCAACAGAATAATATCAAGCATCTAATGAGTTTGCTAATAAGATGGAGTATGAACTGAATGCTTTGAAGGCATTTATCATGCAGAAGCTTAACGCTACAAATGGTCAATTTTCTAGTGTTGTCATTCGATCGTAAAATCCTCACTATGATGATGATTTAGATGACCAATCATTAAGTGAAGATTGATCATGCAGTGTTAGTAGAAGTAGTCTCGGATGAAAAAAAATTGGACATGATTTTCAATGTATTCCGAGTTTTTGGGGCTGTTTTTTGTTATAGCTATGACTACTTTTTTGTTGTTGTTTCAATCTATGTAATATTTTGATAACTCTTACTTCATATGTGTTATATGTTTTGATAAATTATTTATGATCTTGATAAATTGATTGGAGGAGAACACGACATGACATAATTGTCATTATTGGAAAACATGGTCAGCATGTATAGATTATACAATTGGAAAGCAGGCATAATTTTGTTGACTTTTACAATTTGACTTTAGCCTCGGTTAGGCCAAAGTTAAATATTTTGTTGACTTATAAAGTTTGAACTTAGCCTCGAATAAATCGAGGCAAAATGTTCCTTTAGCCTCGACCAGGCCCAAGGCTAAACATTATGTTGACTTATGAAGTTTGACTTTAGCCTCGGTCAGGCCTAGGCTATTTTTTGTTTTTTGACACAGCTAAACCGAGACTAACATAGACACGGCTAAACCGAGGCTACTATATACACAACTCTTTTTGGCCAAAGCTAAATGTTAGCTTCGATCGTTTTAGCCTTTCCCCGACACCGACGCTACGCCGAGGCTAATTGGCTAGTAGCGGCGATTTTTTGCCTTATAGTGTCGATAAATGGCCGAGGCTAAATACAGTATTTCTAGTAGTGTTACTTGAACCATGATTTATGACTTTAAAGTTGCTTATTGTTTAATCATGTATTCAAATGTTATGTTGATGTTATGTATGATGTTTCCCACACTTAATTTCTTTGTTGAATGTTTGTATGTATATGTTCATCTTGTTCTAGTGTTGCCTAATCTAAGGGGATGGACTTCTTATTGACTTCATATCATTTGCATATGCATTCTTGTTATTCTTTGCATCTTCTCTTTACTTGTATGATTATTGTTACCTTTAGCATATTTATCTTTAGTTTGTTTCCTTTAGGTTAGTTTCCCTTAGGATAATTCAACTTTAGATGGTTCAATTAGGTTCCCCTCTTCTCAAACTTAAACCTTTTCACTAGAAACCTTGACCTTAGGTCATTGAGTTTTCAAACTCTTTTCTTAATAAATGCTTCAAGACATCTTAAGCATATTCAAACCTTTTTGTAAGACTAAAAGACACTAACCTTATTCAAAACTTTGCCACTTGGCTTTTCAATTTAAAACCTTTTAAAAATATATTAGACATCATTCATCCCTAGTTGAGATATAAATCTCCTATCTCATGACATTGTTGAGAAAGATGTTGATTCTTTTCCATTTGAGAGAGGTATGTGGCATACTTGTTAATTCTATATCCAAGTTGGAACCATTCTCTCAATGTGAAGCAAAGATCCAACTACCACATGTTTGTGGTGGATAGGTTGAGTATTCTCCTTAAGATGACTACTTGTTTCTTCTTCATTAAAATTCACCATAACAAACCCCTTTTTAATTTGTACCCTGAACTACAAGGTTTTGATCATTCATTGGTACGTAGGCGTAAGACTTTGTGTCTTGCCTAACACAAAAACAATAAAAAAAACACTTCTCTTTTGATCTCCCCAATCAATCCCAAATAGCAAACAACTTAAACCATAATACAAATATAACAAAAGGTTCCTATAGGATACTATAGATACTTAGGGTGCTAATATCTTCCCTTAGTATAACTTGTGAGGGCAAAGCCTCATATACTATACATGTGTGTTTCGATGATGTCAAAACGCAATCGCATGGAAGAATTGATATTTGGCGTTATCACCATAATGCATAAGCATATCTTATCTCTCATGTTTCATTTTCTTGCACGTTGTGTCATCAAATTGGCGTCATACGATTCAAACATCATGGGTGTATTACAAGTTGCAGCTAAAAGAGTCAAAAACATCAAATTAGGTATTTTTGCAAATTACAGGTCTTTGAGTCGACCATACCTCTGCTCCGGTCGACTCATAGAAGGTGTCTCTAACTTGCATTTTCCATGGGTTAGCGCATGTCGACCTACCGGTCGACGCATACTGTTAGCATTTCTGTTTGTCAAAAAATGCAAGCTTTGCGTTGATGCATAGTCCTGTTTCAGTCGACGCAGAGATGTTTATTTTGCATAATTTGTTTTCACATGTTAGCTCTGGTCGACCGCTACCTTCTGCATAGGTCGACCATTTGCTGTTTGTTGCATAATTTTTGGTCTGTCTATCTTTTTTGAAAAGGGGTTATGTCAGTTATTTTTGGCATGATATAAATAGAAAGTTGCTCATTTCATTTTATATGAATTGAATCAATTAGAAAACAAGAAAAGTGAAAGAGGTGCCAATTAGTTCTCATCATCTTCATCTTCTACATTTCATACCACAACAATCACACCAATAATCTTTGTTGTGCATTATGGATTGTTTGAAGTGATAACGTCCGAAGCCGTTGATTGGGAATCCAGTTCAGGTTGAGATTTTGGCAGGTTTTTCTTAAATAAAACCTTTAGGATTTTGTCCTCCAAGATTCTCTGAATTTGGGGGTTTTTGGTACGAATCTTCTCAACATATATTCAGCTGAGCGAAGGTGATCGAGGAGCGGTGGGTTCTGTCGATCTAGTAGCGGTAATTAGTGAATTGTGAAGGAGGAGTTCGGGTTTGATCAGCAAGTGTTTGAGATCAGCCGGGCTGGGGTTTGAAGTCGTAAGGGTGTTTAAATAAAGAGTTGTAATCGGAGGTTCATCTATAAGGTATTGTTGCACCCTAAAATTTGACCAACCGGGTCCCGTATCTGGCTCGATGTTTCGATGCATTTCGCATTCGCATTTACATACTGCATATAGTGCATTTTCTCAATCATAGTGATTTTATCGGGATTACAGCCCTGCTGTCGCATTTCGGGTATTTCAGACCGGTGCGGATAATCGGAGGTTATTTTGAGAAGTCGCGCGCTTCCTGGGTGTTTTCAGTACGCAGTGATTTTCGAGATTCATGGTGTCCGGGTTTACTGTTTGCTTCGATCTGGTCTCGCGCTCTCTTTTGTGTTGGCTATTTACCTTTGTTTGCATTTTTTAGGATTTAATAGCCTTTTGTAGATTTTAAATAGGTTTTATAGATTTTC